AAACAGTCAAAGTCGCCATCTTTGTTTATATGGGACCATAGCTCGCGCATGCGTGGCGCGACGATTACCTTTAAGAATAAACAATTTATCAGATGTTCGACTGTTTTTTTAAACCAAACTGTTGTTTAGGAAAAATATTACATTATTTAAGATACGTGACAATTCGTGTGTGTTTTTAAGATTCTAGTGTGTTTTGGACACAGATTTATGTAATTATGTAAGCCTGTGTTGCATGGATCTGGCAATATATTGGATATAAATAGATACATTTTGACTTTGATGGATAGAGCGCCACAAGACAAGATTTATGCCGTATTATCGCCAATCGCGTGCGAGTTGGGGCTGTTTGTTCGGCAGTTAAATTTAAGTCAATTTTTACTCAAATTCAAACTCAAACCTAAAACATGATAATAGATGCAATGGTCTTTTTAAGTGAAAACGAAACCTTCTTGATCCCAAAGGTGTACAGACAAAAATAAACTCCTCATTTCCGACAATGTGAACAAGGCTTTAGATTTCGAAGAAATGTGGATCCGGTTTTCATGGAAAATATTCTTATCAGATACATGTAATCCAAAACGTTTAATAAACTTCTCGGGTTGCCATGCCAACACAGAATATCTTTTTTCATAAACTTGAAATCCTTGACATCCATAAACAATGCAAATATCAAACTTATTTCTTCATTTTCATTACTGTTTCATTACTGTTCGTGCCCATTGGCCCAATAGTCTGCCTAAATACTAATCCACCAAACTTGACAAATATGCAGTCAATTAAAAAATCTAATATATTTATAATCGAACATCATATATTTATCTTGATATCATTTTTCAAAGTAATGGTGATTTTAAACTTGCCATTGAAAATCTGGTGATGACACAACGTGCATTAGGTATTCTCAGACAAACCATCACTTTACATAACCAAACACTTTCTATTAGTAATGCTTTACAGCTTTTCAAAAGTACGGTCTTACCGATCTTAATGTATGGCTCGGAAATTTGGGGGGCTTTTACCTTCAAGATTTCAAATCTGAACAAGATGATCGAACTTCAAGATTTATAAATCTAAACTTGATTGATACAGAAATATTGATTAATTAAGTTGAAAGTCAATATTGCATAGCACACATCTTATATTGACAGATCAAGTAAGTCTATATCAAGTTTGGTCTCATTCGGACAATTAGTTCACAAGATATTAATAAAAATTCAAAATTAATTAAATATGCAAATGAGCCTAAGTTGAAACTCAATATTGCATAGCACATAACACACCCAAAAAACATTGGAATTTACAGGATTTTGGCATTCAAAATGGCCGCCAGGCAGCCATATTTGATCAAATCAGAAAATAAATCCATGTGAATATGTTTACCTCCTCTCTGAGAAATATCAATGGACAGACAAAATCCATGATTAACAATCAAAGTGGCTGCCAGTCGACCATATTTTATCATTTCAAAAATGTAAAACAACGTGCATCTGTATGTGTGGACCCTTTGTCTTTGTAACAAGTCTCAACAAAAGCGGTCAAGCCATCTCCGAGAAATGACGATGGCCACACAAGTACCGAATTTGACTGAATTTTGGCTTTAAAATGGCCGCCAGTCGGCCATATTTGATCGAATCGAAAAATAAATTGACGTGCATATGTATAGTTGACCACTAGTCTTTGTACCAAGTTTCAAAAACATCGGTCCAGCCATCTCCGAGAAATCACTCCGGAAGAACTGACGATGGCGAAACTACACGCTCCCCTCCCGGGTGGGGGCTTATAATATCCCTGCCGTTTCGGTGATTTATTTCGACATGTTTCACTATATTTACAACCATGGTAATCGCACTGGTTCAAAGTATTGCCCTACTATAAAATAGATATTTTGATCTCAAGTGTCCCGAGTATTGCTTATCCGTATGACAAAGCTACTTTATTTATAATATTATCTCATTTGGTTTATGTATTGACCATCTCTACGGATATAATATTATTTTGATGGACCATGTACTGACCACCACTGGTGAGATTATATTATCCAATATGTGGGACAAGTAAAATAATATTATGTCTATAGAAAGGGCCGATGTATCCTGCAAGTAGGATAAAATTATCTCTCCAGTGATGACCGGTTCATGGGCAAAATATTGTCCCTGAATGAGCCCAACAACATGGGAGATAATATTATCCCTGAGTGGTCATAGCAACAAGGGAGATAATATTATCCCTGAGTAGTCCCAAAAACAAAGGAGATAATATTATCTCTGGTTTGTCCCAACAAAAAGCGTGATAATATTATCCTTGAGTGGTCTCAACAACAAGGAAGATAATATTATCTCTGATTGGTCCCAACAACAAGGGAGATAATATAATTTCTGATTGGACCCAGCAAGAGAGATAATATTATTCCCGAGTTGTTCCAATTACAGAGATAGTTTTACGTAGTTACATAGTGATTTTCAAAATGTTTGTAATTTTGGGTTAAATTGTGCTATTTTGATTATTATTGCATTTTCTGCTGGTACAGTGAAATATTCATGGTCATAATAACTCCATGTTGCTAGAAAATACTGTCTCTGTTGCCAAATTGTATTTTAAAGTATTATACCCCATTGCCTGTTTATAAAATAATCAGATTGTTTTACAATTGACTAGGTTCACAGACAGACCAGATTAGTTTGGGTGACTAAAGTGTCAAGCTCGACTATATGAACACTAATCCGGTAAATATTAGTTCGTCTGCTCATATAATCATTAACGAATACATTAACATATATTTTCAACACTCATGACTTACTAAGTGATGGGGAGGCTGGTTTCCAACCTCTGTGATAAGGAACAATATGTGCTTCTTTACCACAACTCGCAGGTCAACATAACCCTGGGTATGCGACTGAAATACATTCATGGGCTTTGAAATGTGAATACTAAGCATTAGAAGAAGGCAACCAATGGCTTTTAGAAGGTCTTGTACAAGTTATGTCTCTATGAAGATCATGGATAATCTCCACAAGTAAGTTAACATCAGGCTTGTGCAAGCTGTGCATCAATTGATCTGATATTTAGCCCAGCCTTTGCACAATCCAATGATCTTGATGCGATCCAGCTCTATAAAAGCCATTTGGTTCCTATTGTCCTCCCTAAATTCCTTGTGATTTTTGTTACAGCCAGGTGAAAACTTTATATGGGGAGCTTTGCCAGTACATATACAGAGAATGTATACAAGAACAATGGACCATGATGAATATTCACATAAGGGTACCAAGAAAAGCTTTGGACCAAGAGTGTTCACATGTATATATAACAGAGAGTTTGGTGTGTTGACAAAGCCTTTTCTGCAGTCTCAAGGGTTGTAGTTAGACTTCATATCTATGAAGCCCTGCAAGATATCCAAGAAACATGAGCCACCAAAGTGCTTCTTAAACAGTTTTTGAGTGCATGT